CGCCAGGACAATTACAGTAAGTAGTTTCTTGTATTCTCACTGTTATTTTAATATACCTCATGCTAATACATCATCTAGAAAAGAGCTCATTTCCAACTACGAAAAGGCACAGGCTGATAGACACAAGAAGTAAAATGGATAGCTGATGATGATTTGGAGGACTTATGGAATTGGTCGTTTGGCGAAAGTGTTTTGACGAGTGACGAGATGGATGCCACGAAACTATAATGGGGCACAAAAATCTTTAGCACAGTTCCACGGCGAATGGAACACAATGTACAGATATACGGATATGAGGGGCGTACAAAACAAAAATTTCCACGAGTCGATGAGTGAGTGCATAGTTTGAAAGGAGGAATCACGTTTTTGGACGAACGGATGGATATTTAAATGATTAAGTGGGGGATGGCCTTACGAAATGGAAGGGTACATGGAAGATACCTTTACTGTATATTACTATAGCGAATAGATGAATAAACACCTCTCGACTTAAGGAATCGAAGAAATGGTATATGCGCCATCATAGGTAAAAATCAACACTCAATGTGATTCCTAAATTTCTAAAATGAAGCTTTATGCCAAAGAAATTTCCAGTCAATTTCCCAAGCTCTTTCGGTCCATTCCCACAATCGCTTTGCCAAATTTGGATCCTTGGCCGTTGTGTCCAACGTTGAATTTCTCTCAACACCCACCGGCATGTAATATGCGCCATTGGCCAGCTCTTTCTTTTTTGCTCCCGCGGCAGCCCACGTCTGATTCATAATGCCTTGCTCAACCGTTATTGTTTGGCTTACACTAGTTACATAGACAAACCATTTATGCCAAAAAGATAAGTTTGAGACTAGCCCCGTGTTGATGACTCCTGGATGGACCGCTACAGACGTTATCTGCGGATAACGACGAGCAAGCTCTGCTGCATACAGTATGTTGGCTACCTTGCTTTGTCCGTAGCGGCTCCACGTCCCAAAGGTCAAATCCTCTTGGGTTGTTCTCAATTTATCGAAGACAATGCCTTGACTCGGATGAAACTTCCACCCCAAGGAAGTATTCAAGACAACTCGCACGTCGGAGGAGGGAAGCTCAGCAGTCTTCAGCATGATTGGTAGTAAATGATGGAGAATGGCAGCATTGCCGAGATGATTTGTTGCGAACTGGATTTCGTATCCGTCTTTGCTCAGAGCAGCAGGCACGGCCATGATACCTGCGTTGCCCATGAAGATATCAAGACGATCATGCTTGAACATCTTGATACCGGCAGCGACTGATGAGAGTGAAGACAGATCGATAGGAAGAAAGGTCAGGCCCGCTGATGGGACATCCTTCTTGATAGATTCTATGAGATCTGACGCCGCGTTATCATTACGTCCCGTGAAGTAAATATGTGATGGTTTGTGTTTCGCAAGGACTCTGACTGTATTGCTTCCAAGTCCTGCTGTGCCTTTGATTACGATTAGCTTTTGTGAGCAATCACAACTAGGGTAGCTTTTAGGGTCCTCACCTCCAGTGACCAAGATAACTTTGTCCGTCAAAGTGGGTATATCCCTCTCCGGCCTAAAATTAATATCTTTAATGCCGCCCATACGGCAACTTGACCAAAAGATGAAGCAGGTAAAAATTGTAATAGTAACAATAAAAGTGAAAATAAAGGGGATGAGGACTTGGAATTGACTGAAATAAGTTCTTGGGGCAACTTGCACGAAATACTCAAAGATTGCTGTACAGATAGACGACTGCAATTGAACCAAGTGAAGTATTAGTGATTCTGTATTTGAGAAAGTGATCGTACTTATACACTTGAACCTCAACTAGGGAGTCCTGAGCATGGCATCGCTACTGCCATCAGCTTACAAGCCAGTTTCCCAAACAATACTAGCTGACAATAACTAAGTGGCCAACTCTGGCTCACACATGGGTGCCACTGGGTCACGTTGATGAGAAGAAGAGCTGTTATATCAGAATCTAGACGAACATATCGTTTCCGAAGCGTTCTCAAAGGATGAGATCCATGAAATGCAGTGGCTCGCTTGGTGGCTCGTGTGGATGAAGGCTAAACTGTATTTGGGTGAATTTGTGTAAGCAAGATGCATCAACCAATCAAGAGCTTGCTATCTACCCGCCGGCCCCCCCTCGGGAAGATACTTCCTCCTTCATCCGAGACGTCATTCAATCTTCTTCAAAGATGGTGGAAGTGTTAATATAAAAGTTCGCTCTTTTGATTCAAGAACTGTAAGCAGATTGCAGAAATCCACTCTTATTGCCCAAACTGCTTATCTTCTGCTTAGCATGCTTCAATTGCTTGAAAATTACATCAAGCAGAAACCATGAATATCACGCAGAATCTTGCTTTTAGAGTAGAGCCAATGAACCAACTGGCAGAGGTAGATACTACCCCTTTTTATCACCACCTGGATTTCAAAAATGCTGATTGCTACTCAAAGGCTAAAAAGGACGAGGATGATTGGACGGGTACAACAAATGCAAAGGAAAGGAGAAAGCGACAAAACCGTTTGAATATCAGGGCTTTCAGTATGTAAATTGCAGAAGTTTCAGATCATTCCTCCCTATTCATTTTCTACTTCTAGTAATGTTTCAAATTTATTAGAAAAGAAGTGTAGTTGGTCTTCGCCACTGCAGATAACATGGCTATTCTCGGACGAGCTGTTTCCTAACCCTATTCTTAAGAGTCTCTCATAATTTTGGACATTTGGATTCGGCAATAACATAGCTGACTTGGCCACAGGAAAACGCAAGGCACTTGAGGCAAAGTCCATTCAGAAAGACCAATTTGTTATATGGAAGCCACAGCCCCAGCCCAATAGTTCAACTCAGAACTCCCTTCCCACAGCAAAGCCTCTAGATCAGCAGCTCGCAAACATAAATCAAGCTTCAGAGGTACCAGGGTTAACATTCCCACTGCCTCTGGATCACCTTCTTACACTTATTCAATACAACGTTCTCCGCGCTTGTATGACAAACTCGTCCATTCTAAACCTACCTCACACCACTGCCACTGAGTGCCGCAGCATGCTCGGCGCCCCCATGTTCCCAGCCCCTTCCACCATTCCACCCTCTCTCTCTCCGACCCCATTACAACTCAGCACTCCTCATCCCCAATGGATAGATGTACTTCCGTGTCCAAAAATGAGAAACAATGCCATGCTTACTTTCCATGAAATCGATGAAGACGATTTATGTAGGGATCTGTGTGGAGGTATATTTGAAGATTGTAATGATTTGGATGAGAAGGGGATGCTGGTCTGGAATGATCCGTGGCATGCAAGTGGATGGGAAGTCACAGAGGGGTTTGCGAGGAAGTGGGGCTTCTTGTTGAAGGGCTGCCATGAAATCGTCGAGGCTTCGAATAAGTGGAGAGAATTGAGGAATGAAGATAGGTTGATTATCGAGGTTTGAACTGATCACGATTCTTGTTTTCTTATATATCTATTCTTTTGTTGCGGGTCTCTTTGTACATTACAATGATAGTGGCAGGTTTAACAATACCCCAAGTAAGATCGGATCTGTGTATAAATAGTATCAAGGCATTTGTGCGTACGTTATTTATATCCGATCTCTTATTGAATAACAATCTGTGGTCTTGGCCCAATCGGTAGGTAATGATACGACATGCGATGGTTATCTGAGACTGAGTATGATCATACTATAGACAAGTGCGAAACAAAAAGTATGTAGCTAGGAGAGTTGGCATAATTGCTGGAATACTCGAATGTTGATACCCGCGCAAATCGACCAGAATAAATCCCCCTAAGACTGGATATAAGAAAAATCACTTGGTAAAATAGGTCCAATCCGCAATCACGAAGATCGGTCTATCCATGAAATCTAGCAGCAACGTCATAGGGTGCGGCCAAAATTGGTTTCTACCAAGGAGATGTTCATATATAGCATTTAATGTTCTCATCTGACTGAAGTTGACTAACAATGATAGTCCAGAAAATTGGATTCAAAATTCCCAAGTCATCTTGAAAATCGATAGTTCGGATGGTAATATATCGCTAAATATAGCGTCTGCAGGATTTTCAGGGGTGCGATCCTTCTCGCTAGGAACCGCTAAATCCTCCGCATCTGCCGATTAATTGAAGCGGTGCTATAATCTCTATCTTTGGCGACATAAGGATCTTGAAATCGAATGCAACGCACATGACGTCAAAGCACGCTAATTTTTATAGACAGATGCAGCGAATGTGTTCGACGGGTTTCAAATGTTGCTCAAGAGATATTGAAATCAACTGGCGGAACACATTACCGATGTAAGGAGAACAAGTCGAGAGGTTGGCGCATCCTACGTTATTGACTGTCAGTCTTAGCATAAATTTGAACAAGGTTGCAACCTCCAGTGTATAATCATCAAAAAGGATAGAGAAGTGGCTCCCAACTGACATCATTATCATGTTAGAGATAGCAGCGTGCAAAGATTGAAAACGTCAATCGCTGATAGTAATCCGAGCTACCCGTCAATCGTTGATTATGGAAGGAAAAAACTTGAAGTCCAACAGCCCCCAATCTTATGCTCTCAGCGAGAGTGAATGATACCCCATCAATACACTGGAACTTGAGATGAGACTAAAATTGCCTAATCTTAAGAAAAGAGGGATGAACAAGGAACAACGTTTAGCTGCTCATATGGAAAGGGACTGAATCTTCCACACTTCTTCATAACAATCCCATACTTGATCTTTGTTTTCATCACGATGTCGATGGTGTAATTTCGAGCTGAAATACTGCCCCAAATCCCTCAGAACGTATCGCAACTCACGTTGGACCTAGAACTGCAGAGCTGTTGGCAGCGAGAGTTTCGATTCAAAAGATTTCAAAAATCATGATCGATACGCCAAAAATTACCTTGACAATATGAAAGTTATACCGGAATTGTCCAACATGTTTGTGCAAGATTCAACCTCGGAAGAGGGACCTCTTGCTATACAATTCGTCTCTGGTCGGGCAAGGATCAAACAACCCAAAGCTTGATACGATCGCATGCGATGTCTGCCTTTCGGAGTAAGCAGCGACAGCAGAAAGCTAAACAACAGATTGCCACGCAAAAACTTATGCCAGTTGAACGCGTCTGCGACGTTTCGAAGTCTAGTCATAGTCCATCAAGCTCATCGCACGTAAAATCATTCCCTTATAATACGCTTGATCCAATTCCTGAAACTGGTACCAAGAATCACCAATACGGATGCGACCATGAGACTTCACTTGAAGTCACACAAGTGGGACTACCATCATTATTCGCTTTTGCGCCCGCTCAACCCGACCCTTCAAGCTCCGTACCCCATCTGCCACCTGATATAATTTCCAGATACTCCCGAGAGTTGAGTACAACTAAACAAATTGGTGCGTCACGTCATGGATATCTGAAGTGATTGTGATGCCTGTGATCATGATGGTTTTGCTGAGAGCTAAAAATTGGTTTAGCTTTGATGTTTTGTTCGCCAGGGCCCGAGAAATTAGTTGATTTTCCAAAAGCTGCCGGACAAGCCTTATCGACAAGCATCATTTATATGATATATGCCTATTCATGCTCGGTTCGAGGGACGATAAACGATGAACTGGCTACAGGATTGAGAGATGCAGCCATTGCACAAATTGGGCAGATACTAGCTCAAGAAGGGACATTGTGGTCCGATTCTACAATAGCGTCAATAGCCTATTTCTCAACAGGTATTTGGGTAGGTGAGGAGTATCGGGGATGGAGTATCGGGCGGCTAATGATGATATTTTAGGCAATTGAACGCAATGCAGAGGAAGTTGAGGCACACATGACTGGCGTAGAATTGTTGGTCAAGAGACGAGGACTGGAGAGCTTTGGAGCTTATCCTTTTGGACAAACAATCCGAAAGTACCTAGTAATGTAAGCCACCTACCCTAATGCGAATACCAATTTTTGTGATTAATGCAGACATAAGGCGTCACATTATTGTGAAGGCTATCAGGGCCGAGGAGCTTCCTCTGAGCTTCAGCAATTCTTTGATTCAATTGAAAGAGAATGAACCTCAATGTCGGCGATTTGCGTCCCCGTTATATTGTCCATCCGGTTCATTCGAGTCTGTCAGACAGTTGAAAGGATTCGACGACTCCCTGATCCAGGTTCTATACATCGCTAAGGATTTGATTGACCTTATCATGGAGGGATGCGAGCAAACGGTCGATAATGCCAATTACCAAAGCCGCTTATCTGCAGCTTTGTACTTTTTACAGCCGTTGTACTGTCAAAATAGGCCCTTCAAATCTGACATCCCAGTACTGGATTTTCGAATGCTGTAGACTTGCTACCTTATAATATTTCAAGCTATAAAAACTTGCACCCCTCTGCCTTCAAGCGACGAGTACCTCACATCGGCAATGATTTGCGCCATAGAAAGAACGGATGTTGACGAAACTTGGGGGGACGTGTTGGGCATATTGTATTGGGTAATCTATCATTGCTTGTGCGTCAAGTCAAGGTCGATCAGACCCTGGAATTCTGGATTCGAGATTAGGCAGGACGATTTTCAAGATAGCCTCTTCCGTACAAAATTTCGAGTACGCAACAGGGCCTGCCCAGAAATTTGCGCAAATGCAAATGATTTTGGCAAGGAGATATAAATTGGCTGCCGCTGGAAGATGCAAAAGAATCATTGAAACAATTGAAAGAAGGGACAATGAGAAATGGGTGATCAATAGCTCTAAGCTGGCAGGGGAGATCGTAGTGTTTCGGATTGAAAGTTCACCATTTCATTCCTGCAATACGAGATGCACAAGAGTATACAGTGGTCTGTGCGTTGATTACGATTTGACCTCTTAGCGTGACTGGAAATCGGTTACATGGTTGATCACAATAATGATTGTGTATTTAGAACCAAATCTTATATGTCAATACTCTAAAGTGATAAAAATAGAACTGTTCCACATAAAAGACTAATTATGAACTCAAGTAGTCCCCCATCCTTTAATCAGGGGCACCAGTTCCCCACAATAGCTCCTCTCGAACTTGACATACCTCTTTGCCCTCCAAGCTCCACGCCACGGCATTCATCTCTTCCCTATCATAACTAGGTGCAAATTGCACAAAGTTTTCCAACTGCGCATTGATTGCCGGCCACTTCTTCGCTGCTCTATCTGGCAATTTCAATGCATAATAGCCCACCCTCTCGATTTCTCCGCTATCGACCTTGATTGTGACCGCGAATGTATACCCCACTGCATTAAGGAATTCTTGCATTTCAAAGAATTGCGTTTGACTCGGTGGTTCTGCACCAGCTAATGCGTTAAAAGAAGTAGCTTGTTGTAGAGAAATAGGTCCCTGGGCCCGAAAATACAAATTCACAGTTCCCTTTTGGTAGTCGACCGCCACATGACGAACCTTCTCCAACTCCAGCGCCTTGAATCTCTCCTCATGTTGGATCAAGCTCTCTGGCACGCCCTTGGCACTCAAGATATCACTGAGTGGTCTCATGCCTCTCATGTATACCCAGGCTTTTACCAAACCCTTCTCTGCGTCGAAATCACACGATTCTTCTGGTAAGCCATCATACAACGAGCTCCAGGATGTAACCAATTTCCCTAGGGTGCTGACAACATCCGGAGACAAAATGCCGGCGGATGACGCAATGGCCACAGTATCTATGGGTCTTCGGGAATAGAAGCGATAATTTAAAGCATCACCCAGACGGTCTGTTACACGCCATAGAACAACACCGTCATGAAATGAATCAGAGAAGACAGAAAGAATCTTTCTGGTTGTGGACTCGGAATATGGTGCGTTGATCGCAGCTGAGAGGATGCGAATATCGTTGAGAAAGCGCGATTGATCGAACTTTGAAGTTTCAGAGGCTACTTGAACAACCATTTTGCTCTTGAAGTAACAATTATTAAGTGAAACACAATTTTCTCATGATTATGATTCTGGAAATCTAAATATATATATCCCGAGGCCCTTAGACTCGCTCATGGCCGATGTAGTGACTGCTCGTGACCAGCGCCATAATCTCGGCACACATGCAAAGTAACCAGACTGGTATTCAAACCCGAGTCTCGTAAGGAATTTAACTTTAGTTTGATGATAGAAATCTTCCACGTTCCACTCGGAGTCAAGATGATTGCTTTGCGGAGGATCAAAATGTGCAAAACACAAGGATTGAATTCTCACCGCATGTTTCCACTATTAACCGATGCACGGAATCTGCAACGCGCCCAGAACCATGGTATTGGGAGGATTGGTCGGTGGAGATGATTCCATCCATCCTTCTGGAATTGTTAGTGGTGTTGGTACTGGCTGTCATTGGCTTGGGATATACCAGATCAACGTTGTAGTATGTAATCACAGCTTATTTTAATTCGGGATTACGTGGGCCCCCACCCGAAGACAATGACCGGCAATGACCCGGAATCCGAAGTATATTACACTTACCCCTATTCAACACAGATGTGGCTATTGGTGTATGGACTGTTATAAACCCATTGATTTCCAATCCGCTCCATACGGTATTCATACACTTCTTTAAGTAAGACATCACAGATAAGGCCGCAGTATAACTTGATTGCATGATTCTGGTTACGCCCAATTAATCTTTCGGTCATTTCATACGAATGTCTGTAAACGATAGCATCATGTTCAAGGGTGTTAACTTGCAGTGATGATTTGTTGTATTCTTTGTGAGTGATCTTGTTCGTATTTCCTTTCCATGTCCTCTCTCGCATACATCCTGGCCGGAATAATCGCCAAAAAGTGGATGATCTCGAAGATCAAGAATTTCAAATCCAACTCCGGCCTTTTGACGCATCGTTTCTAGGCTGCTTTTCAGAAGACCGCAATCTTTCTCGATGTTTCACTTTTCCTCTTCTTAGCTCTCCCCCACATTCCTCCCCTCTTTCTTCCTCCTTGTGGTTGAAGAATGGATCTCTTTTCTCCTCGCTCTGATGATAGTATCTAGATCATTCTTTTCCTGGCCTAGAAAAAACAAAGACTTGGAGCAGAGGACTGTCTTGAATAGAAAAAATATATATGAAAAAGCACACAAGATTCAAATTGCGTAAATTCATGTTGAAGAAATACTCTAAATGACTATATAACAACAGGGCAAAATAACATCATCACCCCTTTCCCCCTCAGAATACCAGCTTCTACTATTCATTTCTCCTCTCAATCTGAATTGGAACATTTCCTTTCCAGTTCTATGCCAAGAGTGATTGGCCATTCCTTTCCTCCACCTAATGCTTGGTAATAACGAACCTTTCACATTCCGCTCTCCAGGAGAAGGGCGAACGGTGAAAGCGGAACAACAATGCCTCCTGTTTTCGATGCTCTGCTCGAAGTGTTTATAAACTTGACTAAAATTGAGAGCCTCAATAAATATTTTGCTTGAAATACATACTGCCGGGAAGTTCGGAATTGGTCCCTGTTCTACAACCTTGGCTTCACTTGAATCTGCCATAAAAAAAACCAAAGCCAGCTGCAACCAGAGTAGTGTTCGATTTCAAGGAGATGCATTATTCGCAAGCCTATCCATCCAGGATTTAGGCTGGCAAATGTGTAGACCCAGACTGTTGACTTGTGCTGCAGATGTCTTGGAGCCGTGTGACCTGACGTTATGTCTTGAACATTGCTTGAAGAGATGCGGTCAACGTCCCTCTGTAGCTGTATAATTCGTCTCAGGAGTTGTTAGATGTGACTGTCAAATCAAACTGTCAAGAGCCTGGAGTCGTCATGATCAAAGACAATTTAAGGTACGAAGATGCAGGAAGTTTTCGTAAAGCCAGTGTAGGGTTCAACTCATTCGCTTGAGTATACTGGGATAGATTTTCCGGTGGGGGGAGTGGTGGAGTTGAGTTTGACGCTTATACTGTGATTTGAATGTCTACGAGATATCCACACAGCGATGATTTTCTGCCTAGTAGAATGGCGATTCCTCCTATGAGGGTGGTATTAGCGAGATGTGATCTTGGAACTCCAAGTCTGTCAAACATTGAGTTTTCCCCCTCAAGATTTCTGCCTGTCACAACCCATAGGTAGCATATTAACATCGCTAAAATATAGTCTTCTTATCATGCTTGGTCTCGTGTACTAATAGACATACTAAATGGCGAGGTCAAAAAATTCCGACCAGATTCCTCTATCAGCTGTGACTGTGTTGACATCATTGGTTCAGGTCGTTAGAGCAAACGGACATGCGTCTTCCTAAAGAAACAATAAAAATCCCTGACATTACCAACTATGCTGAAATGGACTATGATCGTGTTCATCAAATTTCGGCGCCAAGGCAGTAGGTTTGAAGATGAAATCCAATGTCGATTCCGTTCCACGTCAAAAGATGGTAGACAGTAAATGATCTGACACCATAGTTCGACAATCTGCTCAAAAAGTTGAGAGATCGAACCTCGAGGGCCTGAATGGATTTCGATAAGGGACTATAATCGTCACTCGACAATGTAATATGGAGGCATTTGATGACAAGTGGAAAGTGTAGACTGTTGGTATGTCTGAGAGACTCCGAGTTCAGCGCTAAATCTGAAAAGGGTGGGCAATTTTCCCACACAATATCAGAGAGTCCCAATCTATGCACATATGTGCAAGCAGTGATGGAAACTCTTTATTTACTGCAAGAAATTCTGAACGCCCAGTGAATCATGCATTGATGCTTTTTGTCGATGCAGTTTTGGCACCCAGCGTCAGGTTGATTAGTAAGCATGATGAGGCTGTCGAGCGGTCCCTCATATTCCGGTGACCGAACTAATCAAGTGCGAAGCTAAGCTCAATAGTTGCCGCGTCAAGGTTGACAACCTAGAACTCTCAAACAACTCCTCCTACATACCATCACAACAACTTTACCGTCTTTTTTGTAATTGTTCTTTGATTTGATACCCCAAAACTAAATCAATTTATCTTTTGCCATAATGTCCGACGAAACTATTCGTAAGCCTGATAAGGACTTCTCCAAAGAGGTTGACACACAGCTTCCAGAAGCTGAACAGCTTGCACAGGTATAGCTCTCTGGTGATTGGAATCGTCTACGAGATTTCTGACATATTTTACTTCATTAGACAAACGTGCAAGGTGCCATCGAGAAGCTTACAGTGTTGGAGAAACAAACAAGACAGGTCAGACTGAGACACTTTACACATAGGCGCAAGCCATTAACATTTCCAACAGGCATCAGATCTTGCATCAACATCCCGAATTCTTGTTGGAATTGTCACTATTTGCAAGAATGCCGATGATTGGAGTTTATTGAACGAACAAGTCCTGTTACTATCAAAGAAACATGGCCAACTTAAACAAGCTACAACAAAGATGGTACAGGTTGTTATGGAGTTTCTGGATTCGACACCAAACCTCGAGACGAAGCTTACAGTAATTGAAACATTGCGTACGGTGACGGAGGGAAAGATTTTCGTCGAAGTTGAGCGCGCCCGCGTTACTAGAATCCTCTCCGATATCAAGAAGGAACAGGGTGATCTCAAATCTGCAACGGACATTTTGTGCGAGTTGCAAGTAGAGACATTTGGATCTATGGAGAGGAGAGAAAAGACGGAATTCATTTTGGCACAGGTCGCATTATGTATAGAGAACAACGACTGGACACAAGCTGGAATCTTGAGCCGGAAGATCAGTACCAAATATCTGTCAAGAAAGCCAAAGAAGACTCCAGAGCAGTTAGTGAAGGAGGCAGAGGATCGAGAGAAGAGAAGAAAGAAGGGAGAGGATGTTCCAGAGCCAAAGGAGGACGATGTGACTGATCTTAAGTTGAAATACTACGAGCAACAAATCACTCTGGCGAAGCATGATGACAAATACCTTGATGCCTGCAAGCATTATAGACAGGTTCTTGATACAGAAGCTGTTGAAGAGGATCCCCAAAAGCTTCATTCCGTAAGTTTTGAACTTTCACTTCTCTCCAGAACAGAACTAACAACCACAGGTTTTGCAAAGAATCATCTACTACGTCATCTTAGCCCCTTACGATAACGAACAATCCGATCTTCTCCACCGCGTCCACAAAGATACTCGCAACAGCCAAGTATCTCTCGATGCCCAACTCCTCAAGCTATTCACAGTTCCCGAACTCATGAGATGGCCCGAGGTTTCGAAGATATTTGGCCCACACCTCTGTGGAACCGATGTTTTTGATGTTTCACAAGGTCAATCTGCAGACCCCAAAGCAAATAAGCGTTGGGAAGATCTACGCAAGCGTGTGATCGAACACAACGTTCGAGTTGTTGCCAAATACTATACTCGAATTCAAATGCCCCGATTGACACAACTTCTCGATTTGACGGAAGACGAGACGGAGAAATACATCAGCGAGTTGGTCACTGCCAAAACTGTTTTCGCCAAAATCGACAGACCTGCTCGTATCGTCAACTTTGCTAAACCAAGAGACGCGGATGATGTCCTTAATGAATGGAGTGGAAATATGAAGAGTTTGTTGGGATTGCTCGAAAGAATTGATCATTTGATCACCAAGGAGGAAATGATGGCTAGAATCCAACCAAACAAGTCACCAAAGGGCTCAAAAACTGGAAAGGTCAATGCATAATGATCTTCCTAATCTACCATTGATGATACCTACCTCTTTGTACAATTATTCTAGATTCTGATGACATGAATCTCTTGTCCGTGCATATCTATCTAATTCTAGCTCTGTGATTCCATTGATCCTATGTATACTCAATCCATTGATTAAAGCTCTTCTCCAGCTTAGAAAGGAACATCCATATCCTCGACGCTCTCTTCCGCCACTGGCTTCTTTTCATCCAAACACTTAACCATAAATCCCACAGCCACATTACCAAACTCCTTTCCCATTGGCACAAAATGACCCCCTGGATGATAGCACACCTCCCTGCTTTCCTCCTCGCTCGCCTCTACCAAAGCCATACTCCTATGTTCTTCCACAACCGTATCCAAACTCCCAATGACATGCAGAATACGTGTTTTTAGAGGGGGGGTATAGAATGCGGTGTATCCGTCATAAGGTGCGTAGAAGCCGGAATAAGAAATGCAGAATTTGAGGGGAGGGTGGTGGAGTTGTTGTTTCAGGGCAGTAAACGAGGAGGGGTATGGTATTGCTTCGGTAGGGTTTTTAACGCATTGGAGCGCAAAAGCACTTTCGCGGTTTGCCTCCAATAAACTGGCCACAAAATATGCGGCGCATGCGCCTTGGGAAAATCCAATAACTCCATCAATTCCTCCTGCTTCACGGATTGTGGTTGCGATTGTGTCGAGGCCTTTCTCAATGCCAGCATATCTAGCTCCGCCGGTCTCGCGTTTCCACCACCCGTATGCATCGGTTGGTGCTAAGAATGGGTCGGAAGAGGGCGTATATCCGGGAATATCAGCTGGTAGAAGGGGGATTGGACCGGTGGGATATAAGAGCTGGATGCCGCCGGGGTAGACGGGATGAGAAGGGGGGAATTGGCGAGTGAGAAGTTTGGTCAGGGCCTTGGTCTTGGAATTGAAGGACGGCCCGGATTGAGTATAGCCTGTATAAAATTAGCCATTCGAATGAAGAGGGCGAATACACAACAGGAGGAGAAAACTACACACCATGCAACATCAAAATCTTAAGTTTCCTTGGTCCAGGCCCCTCAGCGGGTGTCGTGCCATTTGTAGACATACTTTGGGTATCTGAGCAAAATCTACGGAAACGTGGCAAAACTATGGACCTAGAGGAAAGGGATAGAATTTGAGTGTGAAAGAGAAACGGAGTTCGAGAGAGGGGAATCGAAAAGACATGGTGCATTTTTGAGAGAGGATATCTATCAATGGAGATAAGGAGGGGACATGACAAACTCGGGTCAGCCTTGCGCTAGGCTTGTTTTGGGCCGGCGAGGTTGTGGGGTTGTGAGTTGAACATCGTTGCAATAGCTTTTGATCTTAAAATTGAGCAACTGTTGTTTTAGATGAGTAATGATGTTGCCATTCATCGTTTGTGGTTATCTTTCCCCTTGTTTCGTAGACTGGTCGTCGCGCAAAACTCGATCACGATGTTCGCGAGGCACTAAATTCGGTAAATAAAGACATCAAAAGGTATCTCGAATATGTAGTACTGAACAATATTCACATTCTAGTTCGCGATGTCTTAAGAACGTGCAATTGTTCCTCTGAAGGTTTTAATGATGTACTGAAAATACAAGAACGGGCTCGTCGCCGCCCCCTTGCTCCACTCTGTAGGTGAACCTTAGCGAATATCATCCCTCTCCTTTCACTAACATGCCAACCTAGAAACTCAATCTGATACCGCAAACTCGACCCAGCTATGAAATTTGTTATCATGAAATTTAATACCTTCTGAAAAAGAGTTTCGATTCCATTGACTTTCATCGTCTTTCTATCAATTTCCGAGAGCAAGGAATTTTACGTCCCGAAGTACGTGAAAAGGTTTGAGGCATATGGCCTTCTATCCGATGGAAAAATCGATTCTCTCGTAGCCTGAACGTCTTACCATCTTTTATTTATAATATTCTCACAGCATTCATAAGAATACAACTCATTTACGGAGTAATAAATAGTCGTGGGTGGACAATCTGCTTGTGAGAACAGCAGAAGAAGCCCATTCGTTTCGAAAGATCTGAAGTCTCAATCTCTCAAGCCAAACAGGCTACCAGAATCTCAAGAATATCATAAAAAGCGTTTCTGGGTACCTGATCTTCTTGCTTCAACTTCCAGGCGGTGTTTGCGGTTTCATATGACACCAATCCGCGACTCCCAAACAGAGCCTTCCAAAAGCCTTCTCCTTGGTATATGCAATTTGCGATTGATTCGGTTCATGCTGGAGCATTTTCCAATCAATTCAAGAAAGACAGACCCGGAGAGCTCGAAACCGTATTGCTTTCGCTTTTCCCTGGGCCTTATAGCTCCAATTTCCAAGAACCCGTATTCAAAATTCGAATAGTGCAATAGAGCAAGCTTCCCGGATATCAATTATGACGCCTTACTATCGAATAAAACGAGCAGATTATCAGCCCGAGACTCAAGAAAATGGAGCAATCAATTAAATATTTGACCATATCACCACACGCACTCATCAGCCTCTCTCCTCCAATATCCATCACCAAGTTCTTCTACGTCCTGCTCGTTTTCATAGAAAGTAGCATCATATTCCCGCATTATCTCCACCCTCTCATCCATGTCCACTACCAAATTAATTCTCCCGAGATTTCTCGGCAACAAATTCTTCATGCCTTCACGCGTATCATATCTTAACACCCAAACACCTCCTCCGTCTGTTGGCCACCCGAAGATCAAGTTTCTTTCCTGTGCATTAGCAAGCATTGACGACGGTACACCTGCTTCTCGGTAATCATCATCTAGAGAAGCCCATTCGATCGCGTGATGACATTCGCTACTCCACCAGATTGCCCCAACTTTTCGCATCAAGATACAAAATTTATCCTCTTCAATAGGATCATGTGATCTTTGAGTTGGGTGACGACGATTCAGAGACAGGAAACTCATATCCACGATATTTGCATTTTCTTTGATGAAAATACCACCGGTAGAGGGATAGCCATAAATCGTGCAACCGATAGTGTCGAATATAGTACGCATGGTGTAATTGAAGGCGGGATTGAGTAGACGACGTTCCGCTGCCATGCGGGAGGCCGCTTCAAGTATTGGGTCTACTGGACGAGGCTCAGGAGCTGGCGAAGGAGATTGGAAGGTGCGATGAACTTTGTCAAAAATCATGGGAGTAATGCCGAAGGAGTTTGCTAGGAAAAGGAGTACATAAATCCCGGCGCTAAGTGCATGTGAGTGGTGGTATGCCGAGTGAGAAGAAAATGAGTCTTACCCAACACCTAAAATCGTTGGGAAAAGCATTTTAGTGAAAGTTTTGAAATTCATGAGAAATTTTCCGCGGAATGCAATTGAGCAATGAATAGAATTCTATCATCTTTCTGCTTTCTTGTCCTTCGATTGACGCTATAAGATGTTGTTGCCTAGTCTCGCTAAGCGGCTAAGCTGCTAAGTACTAGGTATGCTTTCTATAAGCTGAGATAAACCAATGACTCTTTTATTCACAACACCACCTTCAAATCGTACTTTTTGTGTTCAATATTGGTTCACACATCTTTCACTCTACGACCTATGTAAATACTTAATCACCGCGGCCGACTTTCAACTTACCTAGACACTTTACATCTAGAAAGGGCATTCCGAATCTCATGTTCATAGCATCAACGCCAAGAGCGAACATGTGTAAGAGGTTTAAATCTTGCGAGTGCAATCACTAGGCTATTATTCTCAGCTGCGCAGTCACACTGACTGCCTATGATTTCAGAGAAATCTGATCCCCTAGTAATGAATGCTGCCCTCTTATTTATGGGTGCCCCCCTCCACAAGAATTACATCTCTTCCCAATTAATATCAAAGGAAATCTTAACTCCTGGCATCGTGATGTCAAGCAGCCATCTTACCGGAACAGCGCGAACAATAATGGCCATTCTTGAACCCTTTAAAGATGACCATCTTGATAAACTATTATCCAGTGTCATATTTCTGATCCCGTGAATCGCATTCAATATTGTGATTTCTATCTTTGTTTGTCTGCATAACCTTAAGCAACGCTTCAAGGCGAGCCTTGAAATTTTGAATACTCTCACCCTCTTCGTATCTGTCTTTCACTTCCTTTCACTATCTTATTTCTCTTACTGGACGTTAGCTAGATGCTATCAGCCTCAAGCTTGAACCGATGTGAACTCCAAAAACACCACGGTTGGATTTTATCTGCAAGTTTTGTAGATGCATATGTCGAGACACGGAAGCGTAATTTTTAAGATTTACCGATCTTGATAACACCCCTCACCGAGCCAATCTTGAGTTGATAGATCGGACTATAGTATGTATATCTCGGATCATCTGACTAAAGCCATTAGCTATATATAAATACATTGTGCGAATATATTGAGACCAACGTGGTATCTGTACTTTTCGCTCTCAATCTGTGTTGTCATTTTTCTCACGTTATCCGCCAATCAGTTGATGACCTCTTGTTTCAAGAGTCACTTCATCTTGCGCAAAAGTGCCTTTTGCTTGACCCTTCAGTCTTTGCTAAGTCTCCCCATCTGCTAAGGGCCGAAACGGGAATTTCTCCAGGTTGAGTTTACAAACTTTGCCTAACATCAAGTCATTGGGCGTGGTTTCCTCTAAGCTCTGATTTCTGACTACTACCCCTCGATCCTTGAACATTCTATTCAACCTCCAATGTCCCATCTGAAAGTTATGTGTTCCGTCAAGTATTGTCACTACTTCCATGTCCGCCGGTTTGACATCTTGAGTGTAGCGAAAACATAATGCACTAATGTGTGAAGCCAATTGTTAGATCTGATAGAAGCTCCTGTGGCGGATGAAGTATGTATTGCTTTGTACTACCAAAGTGCTGCGAGAAGTACAGTAATTGCATAGAAGATAAAATAAGATATTTTCGAGCCAGAGAGTCAAGAAGTCATCGCCAGATTACACCTAGCTGATCATTCAAGCACATAAGCTAACACAGGAGAAAGCCACTACGAAAGCATTTTGATGACAGGTTAGGGG